AAAAAAAAAAAAAAAAAATCAAAAAAAAAAAACGTTTAAAATAACCACAAAACGATTATCCTATCTACATTTTGAAAATGCCTTTAAGATGTTTATGATTTAGAATGTATGAAAAACTGACATCTTAAAGACGTCTATCAGATGTTTGTACAGAGCAGATGCTTTCCACTTTCCAGATGAAGCGATCTTAGACATCTTGCAGACGTACGTGTGCTATACTCCAAAAAGTTATTGTTTCTACAATTAAACTGGTCAATTTGTATTTATCAATGTCATCCAAAACTAACAAAACAAAACAAAGCAGCCTCGTTTGCGGTTTGAAGAAGATTACCTAATGTTTTATGTAGTAACTTTGCAGTGTTTTATATGGACGGCAGATGGCGATATTTATCATAAAGTAATATAAACAAAGACTGTAGCATAACGCGAATAAGAAGAACTGTCGCGTATCCACATTTTAGGTAAAACCTAATCGACTATTTCCATTGAATATGTATTTAGTCTTCATAAAGTGAATTTGTTGTATGTGTCTTAACATGGGTTGAATTAAAATGAGTGTTTTGAGCTAAGTGAGATGCAGTAATCTCAAACTTCTCTCAGCTGGACTGCTGCAGTTTTTATAAAACAGCTAAACTTTCTGGGATTGTGTAAATAGTGGGAAGTATTAAATCAGATGACAATTTAAAAGAAGGAATGAATTATGTAAGAATATCTGTTGTGTTTTATCTGACGGGGGTGGGGGCATGATGCTGGGAGCCACCAGTTTACAGGGATTGCCAAATATTTTAATTCATACACCTTTACAGGAAAAAGGAATGTGAGTACTTATTAATTAGTGCATTGCAGTTTATCGATACAGCTGTATGTAGTATAACATTACCCCCCATATAGCCTAACCCCCCCCATATAGAGAAGTATAACTCTTCTCTGGAAATTGCTTTATTTTAAAACCAACAAGTTTCTTTATACAGATCTGTAAACTACTGTATATGTAGTGGTGGTTATTTTGTATATCACTGCAAGTAGCTTAGCATAGTTAAGTTAAAATATATTATTTGGTTCCAGAGCGTTCTGACCACTTATGCTGGCATTGCTGTCATTTTTCTGTACTTAAAACTGAAACCGAAGAAAAAGAAGGCAGTTGCTACAAAGTGATGATGAAAATTTTTTGTGAGTAGCCGCATGCAATAAAACATGTGAACATAAAACACACACACACACATATCATTTTAAATTATATATACATATACATACACATTTTTGTAACCAAGCACCAAGCTTGCTTTTATGATTATTTATGCTAATAATTATGAATTATTAGTTAAATGTGCCCGTTTTGTTTAATAACAAAAGTGACGTAAAACTTATTTTTTGTTTGTTTCTCTCCAGGTTCATTGCTGTTATTATTATGCAGTGCATATCTTTAATTGCCCTAGAGTAAAAAAAAAATAATAATAATTATATCTGAAGCAACAACAACTAGGCCTATAAGTCTGTAAAACAGTTATGATTGAACAGTGCTGCTAAAGCAACAGTTATTTATTTTTTATTTTTTGCATTTTATGAAATCTGAAAACATTTTGTTTCCCATCTTGAGCTCCAACAGCATGTTGCAGAGAATGTGTAATTTACATGTACTAAGCTTATTTAAAACTGTTAATATGCACATTGCATCAAATGCAATTTCTTTCAAAATAAATATACAATACTTATAGAAAAAATAAAACAACATGTACATATGTTTCCAAAAATAATAATAATTTTATATAAATTTATTCTTTTGTCTAAATGACTAGCTACAATAAGACGTTGCTTCATTGACCAGCTAAGATTAAACATAGCCAGAAGAGAAAAAAGGTTCAAATAGGCATGAAATTACAAGCACCTTGCTTGACCTAATTACAGTAACTAGCCTCATCTCACCAGATGCCCTATTTTGATGGTGTTGATGGGATGGGGGGTTAAATTCTCATCTTCTATGGGAGTCAGTGTTTACACAATATGCCTCACTTTTCTGAATTACCTCATTGGTCAATATGATTGATGCACACTGATATTGATTATTGCCTGTCTTAGCCTATGGTTTGGCTGCCAGGGTGACATGTTAAGTAGGAGTTTAATCATTGCAACAGATGTGTTTGGAGGATTACACATTCGATTTTTAAGAACATTTTCTCCTCTGGAATCAATGGTAACTGCTTCACGCTTTAAATGAAAATCAGATTTACTAAATCCTGGCTTAAGCTGTTAAACTGATAATAGACCTTCTCACTTTCTCCTCTTCAAGACTGAGTAAATCTTTAATCTGCTTAATACTGTCTTAAAGTTACAGGACTAGTTTGTGACATATGGCCTTTTTGCATAGGGCAGCCTCCGACTCCAGACAAGCCCATCATGTGAATGAGTGAAAAACAAGGCTGTTCTACATGTCTGGACCAAGCCCTTTAAACAACACAAGCAGCAGCTGGCCAGCCATGCCAATCAATGAAATCAAACCAGTGGATTGGATTTATATGCCCAATTGAACAGCAAAATTACTTGTCCAATGCAAAATGACCTGACAGCATGAGCTTATACGGTTTGAACCACAGTCAGCTGGGACATGAATTATGTACAAGATCTTTTGTACAAATGCTTGTCGCAAAACTGATGTACTGATATATGTATTTAGAGCACATATTTTGCCTAGAACTCTATGCATGTAGGAAAATATTTAAAAGAGAAACACTGTATTTTTTTTAAATAAAACTATTATACCTAATATATGTAATTAATATTATGTGTTATAATTAATGTTATATTGAGCATTTTATATACTTAATTATTTATACTGGATAAAGGTACAAAATAATACTTTTTAAAATTAATATCTAAAAACAAATGTAAATATATCTTAAATATAATTAAGAAGAAAATCTTCTCACTGAACCATTAAAGGTAGCAAAGGTAATGTTTATTGTTCAACAGGCTTTTGGGTGAAACTGAC